TTTCTAAACCAAATAAAAATCCAGCAGTTCTAAGATACGGAAACTATGCAGTCACACACTAGATCATCCACTACTGTGTTCAGAGGATACTCCTCACTAGAAGATAAATCAAGAGTTGGATAAACCCCAGAAATGTGAAGATGAAAGTCCTCAACACTTTTTATACAGCATACTGTCCGATGTTTTGGTATTTTGATGCATCCTGTCATGTTACTAACTCAATGACTTTCTCTTATATGTATGCAAACAAAATTCAGAGGTGACTGTCATTGCTTAGTTCATTACGTTCTTGTTTCAGTTCGTGACAAGAGCAGCATTCCTTATCTGCCTCCTTTAAAGAAGTCATTCTTGCAGGATTTTCCTCTGATCAGTAAGCAATCAGAGCCTTTCAACTCTGCATAAATGCTGTCCATCACCTGGCTTTATGGAGAAACCTGTGAAGAAAAAAGTCCTTATCCACAGGCAGAATTGGTAGAGACTTGGGGAGTAAACTATTCTTTTCTGCATCACTACTTCAACATCATCACCACTCACCCATGGCTGGAGTGGTGCTTGTGTACAAAGAATAAAGATCCACAGTTCATTCCCAGACAGCAGTTTGATACAAGTGATAGCAATTGAGCATCAGTGAAGTATATTGGAAGTTCGTGACAAAGCACGAATGAGACTCAGCCATGCTTTCTGAGATACAAGTCTTAAAACAGAAAGTTTGATCAAGAGAAACAAAGGAATCCAAAGAAACCAAAAGCATCACACAATTGCAAACTAGGAAACAGAATTCCGTGTGTCTTGGCAGGCTTTTAAAAACAAAAACAAACCCAAACTATTCTAAATCCTGTCCAAAACCAAAATATATGCTATCTTTCAGATACAAATGAGGAAAAAACCCTAACTTGTGTATTTAATGTAGTTATACAAAAGACAACACAAGTCATTACAGAGCTTCCTAAACCATGTAAAATGCTTTTTTTGCTAATCACTTTGCAGCACATTTGGGTTGTTATCAGAGAAGTCATTAGTTCATGAAAACATAATCTGACCTCAATTATGACTAGACTATTTTTTTACTCCATAGGTAAGAGTAATCTCCAGTAGTTTTAAGGTACTAAATTATTTACATGTCTTAAGGTGCAAATAAGCCTTCTTTAGGCCATGTATAGTTACATATTCAAGCACTACTGCAAGGGTTTTTCTCCCCACCTCACACCTGCTTTGCTTACAATAATGTTTTCATGGAGCAGATAGTTATATTTAGTTTTAAATTACAAAACTCTTGACTGGAATACTTCACAGTCTGCTATTCCTGTGCATTAAAAGAAAAGCTTCATTACTATAACTGAATGCCAGCTTTGCTTTGGTTAGAGTTAGGAATTATCAACTGTTAGAAGCTGACATTTCTAAGGGCTGTAAACTCAGTGTGTGCATTTAAACTACATGGAGACATGGTGTTCCCAATAGAGATGTGGGGAATAGTTACGGGATTTAAAAGTGGTTCTCAGCAGAGAAGTCGCAGGTTCTATCTGCATGTGAAACAAATTATAGTAAAAGACAAATACTAAAGTTCAAACTATGCCCTTTATTGTCTGCTTTAATCCTCTTCGGGTCTATCAAGTGATCCGACTCAACCGTTATTTAAGTCAATACATAATATTTGCAATCTCATCAGGAAATTATATTAAAAAAATTTTAGTTCCACAGTTGAGTCTGTGGGAAAGATTGGGTTGCGGATGGTGAGACAGACTACAAAGGATCAGAAATAGACTGGTTCTTTATCCAAAGATTTTAATTTCACTCAATTGAGCTTATTTTAAAAGGCAGAAATATTGTTGTATGAACAAAAAGATGAGTTTGGGTCAATAAATATAATCAATGTGATTCTCAAGTTTTAGTAAGTTATACAGTCCTTATGGGCTCAAACTGTGTATACTTCCAAGTGTGCACGTGCACATCTTGGCATCCATTCCCTCCTCCTGAGCAGTAAACAACTATCTGAATAGCTAAAGTTTATAAGGTGTTACTGAGTTACACCAGATCAGCTACACAGCCCTGAAAAAGTAGCTGAATAAGTATTAATAAAGAGTGGTTT